ATTTCTGGAAGAGCGCCATCAATTACTATCGAGTTCTGGCTCGAAAAGTAAATGCAATGATTCTAGTTGAGAGTGTGCTTATTTGAGACTGTGTAAATTATTGACAAATTAGGCTACTACCATTTAACCATCGCTAGATTGAGCATAAGAAGAACTTCTCAGTAACGCACGGGGATTAGTAATCTATTCATTTACTTGACTGACGTTTTGGCTATATGGCCTTTGGTGTCTAAAACAGCTCGTGTCTGCTTGGAATAGTGATTCCGGTGTGCAGTTAAAGCACTTTTCGAAGCAGTTCCTACAGCGGAGAAAAGAAAGCTGTTTTGAATTGAACTGAGGATGCCCACTGATTTTATATCCACCTAATATTTTTCAATCTGGTCTAAGATGGCAAGATTAATTTTTAGGTAAACGCTCCTCTTCTTCTCATTCTCACGAACATTGGGGCCGTGGTGGATATGACCGCGGGTACGGTGGCGGTTACGGTGGCGGATATGATCGTGGTTACGGTGGTGGCGGATGGGGTGGACCTGGAGGATACGGTGGACCTGGAGGATACTACGGCAATCAAGGATTTGGTGGTGGATTATTTCAACAGCCGTTGGGATTTGGTAGGATTTTGCACTCTTTTGAATATCTGCTTACAAAACGATTGTTACTTCAGGTTGGGGAAAGTAGTCGCGACCTGCTCGTCAGCTGGTGTACATATTTGTATAAAATTGACATGTTTTATTTGAAACGATGAATAAATATTGATTGCTTTTGCAAATATATGTTACATTCTATGCAACATTTTGTTCTAAATCGTAAAGATCCTCAAATGTTTGATAGGATTGTGCTAACTAGCAACGCACAAATGCAGAATTTGTAATGGCTACTAAGTTGATGATTCTAGGTCTTTGAAGTCTAACAAGGGAGGGTCAGGTAGTTGAAAGCAAGTCGCACAATGTCAGTGAGAGCTTGTAATGTTGATTAAACCTGTTTTTCTTATTTGCAGAGCGGCTTTGGAAAAGAAGTCATGGGTATTTTGAGGCGAAAATATGGATTATTGATTTGATAAAATCAAGCAGGGCCTTATTAGACCATAAATGGAGAA